CTGAAAAATGTTTGAATAGCTCTTGGAAATAAAGTACGTTTTCATAATAAGCAAAACTTACCTGTCCAGGAGTAATTTGTGGACCAGTGCGTCAGTCTTTAGACCCTGCGTCTGCTTCAGTCGCGCCATCGCTGGAATGAATCTCCAAGAATCACCTTAGTTTGGCTTCGCTGCTTTTCCCCTTGTCTTCTTCTTTCAGCGACCTCAAAAACTGACTTTCTTTTGGGGCTAACTGCTCCTGGATTCTTGTCGCCATTGCAACAAACTTTGTGCGAACTGCGAGGAAGATATAGGTCAAAAAAGCCGCTAAGAACTGTTGCGTTGGTGGAGTAAACAGCGTCTGTGCGTCTTGCGTCTTGCGTCTGTGGACTGCGTGACAGGTCGTACGTAAACCACGTACCGGCGGCGCGCAGGCAAGTCAGTTACGCTAGAAACGTAGGGAGTTTGATTGACAGCCTGTCAGCTCACAGATAACGAGGCAGTGTCGTTATCTATTGGCAAATGTTTAGCCCCACCACGTCCAGAGTTGATGAATTTTTATTCTCTTTTTTTTGGTCATCATAATTACAAGGCTACTATGTCTCTATAATGCTATCATTGACAATTTGAAACAAAAAAAAATCCTCCATACAACCTTTAAAGTGGAGATTTGGGCCTATATTGAAACCAACTTTGCATTTCTGCTGGTGTAGTGTGTGTCCACTGATCTGAAGGTTGGCGGTGCGACTCCAGCTCACACAGATGAATACCTTTATTGTGTGCTTGGGTAACACACTTAACCCACCTGGCCCCAGTGTCTGCGTGCTCTGGTGTATGAATGTGGTGTGAACGGGTGAGTGGTTCCTTGATGTAAAGTGCTTTGAGAGTCTTGAAGGTGAAAAAGCGCTATTTAAAATGTGACCATTTCCCGTGACCTTTTAATAATAATAATAGCTATTACACTTCACAATACTTCTTACGTCACTAAGTTTGACTCAACATACGTGCCATTAAGGACTGTAAAACCACTTCAGAGGCTAGTTTAGCACCAGTGGTAGAAAAGTGACAAGAAAGTGTTGTAAATTGTGGATATTTGTACTTTACTTAAGTACATTTTAGAGTGTTTTACCTTTACTTCACTACATTTGAAAGCAGGTATCTGTACTTTCTACTCCACTCCATTTTGGAACATAACTGAAAAGTAAAAGTGTGTCTCAAAAATGTTAAAATAAACCAGAAACAAAACAAAATTCAGCACAAATCTATCAATCTATCACAACTTTTGAAGCTTTATTAGATCTGCGTGAAGCAATTTTACTTTTGACTCTTTAAGTACATTCTCAAACGGGTACTTGTGATACTTTTACTTATGTTTTTGTTACAATATCTGTATTTTTACTTTAAGGTACACTGAGTAACATTTCTAGTTGAGGGTTCACCTCCTGATGTTTACTTGGAGATAGTATTGTAGTATAGAGATAGTATTGTAGTATTGTAATGTTCCACAGTATAGATTAATCCTATCTACTCGGGGAGTAACAATAACCGAAATATCGTTGATATAGTATCGTCAAAGTTCTCACAATAATATCGTGGACCGTCACAACATATCGAATTACAAGTCTGTTTGATTAAATTAAGAGTTATGGTGCAGCAATAGCTAAAACAAGATAGAGGGAACTACATAGACCATAATCCTTTGCTGCATTTCAATGTTCAATACAAAATAACAGTTCTAAGCACTTTTAAGTCTTAGTTCTTTGGATTAAGTCTTGCCAAGTCATTTTAAAAGGAAAAAAAAAAGCATATTAACAGTTTTAGCTGTTTAGTTTCCACAGAATATTGCAATAAATATCATACCATGACATGTATATTGTGGAAAATCTGTCATTGTTTAATAGGGTTAGGTGTTATAAGTATTTTTTATTTATTTCTTTTTATTTCAACCTAAACCCTTTCAGTCATGATCTATGGGATTGGAGTCTATGTTTTGTTTTGTAGTGCTGCAAAATGACCGAATAAACTACTACTACTCCTACTACTACTACTACTGCTACTACTACTACTACTGCTACTACTGCTTCTGCTACTACTACTACTACTGCTACTACTGCTACTACTGCTACTACTATTGCTATTACTACTGCTACTGCTACTGCTACTGCTACTACTACTGCTACTACTGCTACTACTGCTACTACTATTGCTACTGCTACTGCTACTACTACTACTACTACTACTACTACTACTACTACTGCTACTACTGCTACTACTATTGCTACTACTACTACTACTACTACTACTACTACTACTACTACTACTACTACTACTACTACTAAAATATCGTACCAAAAGACTTAGATATCGTTACAGCCTTACTATCTACAGTATCATGGGCGAGGCAATCAGGTTGGAGCACTATACTACATTACAAGTCAGATCTGTGGAGCGTCGCCCCTGTTCACTGAAGGAATTATTGAGCCTTAGAAACACCTGTAATGAATAACTTGTAAATGAAACATTCCAGGCAAAGCAATAACATCTCCATGGAGACCAGCAGGTAGCGGACCCTCCACCATAAAAGTTACACAATGCACCTTTAAGTCACACAAATGAGTACTTCTTCTACCACTGCTCACCACTATACCATTCTAATTTCCATTTTGTGAACTCCTTTCTCGCTGTGGTCCATCCGTGCTCTTTGACAAGCTCCTGTCTCACATCATATTTGTTTTTAGCGTGAAGGCTTGATGCTGCTGACAGCCCGAGCAGAGGGAGGAGAGAGAGAGAGAGAGAGAGAAAGAAGGAGAGAAAGCGAGGGAGAACAAGAGAGAGAGAGAAACTGACATCTTGTAGCAGCGCTGAACTTTGGCCTCTGGGTTGTAGCAGTTGTGTAATTACCTCCTCAAAGCTGAAGGAAAACTGAACAGCGGATCACGACGGAGAATGGTTCAGACAATCAGAACGCTACAGAATACTAGTCTCTGGAGGTTAATAAGGGCTCTGGGGGTTAATAAGGATTAGATTGGCTTGGCCTCTATTGTGAATAAAGACTCATATATATTCAAACCATACACTTTATTCCATTTTAAACATAATGTAATTAATCAGAGGTGCGGTAAATACACAGCGCTTTTCAACTTCCTGTTTATAGGCGACATTCTGAGGACTTTTGACCATCCAAAATATAACAGGCTATTTTGTTTTGAATATTTAAAGGTCCTCTATTACGCAAAATGGACTCTTGTGAGCGTTAAGCATAGATCGTATATTAAAATGGACATGGCTAACGTTTTAACCTCGATGTTCCAAATAGGGAGTGTGCCAAGAGGCTCTTCCGGCTCCTTCCGACCCCGTCTCCAGTTGACTTACATTGGGATCTTGTTGCCCCTTTTTCTGTACCTGCTGTGAGCCTCGTTGTTTCGGTCTTAAAATGTTCGTATTTGCCCGCTCTACATGATCCTGAATGTTTCATTTCGCCATTTTGATCCTAAATCCATATATGAACAAAATATATGAAATAATGGACCAATCAGAAGCCTTCATTCGCCAAGGTCGCTCCCTCCAGCGTTAGCAACAGGTTTGATTGACAGCTAGGGCGTTTCGTTGCTGAGTAAGCCACCCCCTTCCCGCTTTTCGGGGAGAAGGGCGGGCACATTTAGAACAGAATAGAATAGAAAGCCTGTATTGTCATTATATACAGTATAATGAGATGCAGAGCTGCTCCTTCAAAGTACAAAAAAAAAGTGCAAAGTTGAGTTCAGTATAGTGACAGCTTTGGGAAAGAAGCTGTCCCCGAGTCTGTTTGTTGTGGCTGGTAAGGCAACAGGTTGAAGAGGTGGAAGCCGGGGTGTGTATTATCCTTTATGATGTTCCTAGCCTCAATCATGATTGGCTCTTGTAGTTGTGTTAATATTCACAATGTATAGGTGATGTCACACTCTCTTAGTCCACTTTTTGCTAATACTCTGTAAAGTGTCTTTGTGACATTTGTCTGTGAAAAGTGCTATATAAATAAAGACTTACTTACTTACTTTTTATATACAGTTATGGCGTTAAGTTGTTACCACATCAAAACCACACCTGGAGTTGTGTTTTGTTTCATTCACACATGTTTGAGTAATCCTTTATTATTACTCTATCTACATCTCCAAAGCTCAAAATGCTCTGTTCCACCTTGTGATGTCATGAGTTGGTAGTTTTCAGCTACAGTATTTTTCGGACAATAAAGCGCACCGGATTATAAAGTGCATTATCAATAATTTAGTAGAGATTTGTAATTCCAGGACTGAAATCATCCAAATGATTCTAGTGAAGGTGTATGGAGTTTAAAAACACAGTGGTGCACTTCCTGTGTTACCACATGACATCACAAAGTGGAACAGAGTGTTTTCTGTTTGGGAGAAGAAATCTGTCTAAATTTGCAGAGTCTGTGTGTTAAACATGTAAATTAAACAAAACACAACTCCAGGTATGTTTGTGATGAAGAAACAACATTATAACATAGATCAGAAAATAGCTCAATATGGGCCCTTTAGTTACTATGGCAACAGTACACATTTTTATCACTCTGAAACCCATGGATGAACAATGAACAATTTTTAACATCATTACAATTGCCTACAGTATGATTTTTATTATTTATATTTCACTTACACAATATATTAAACAATAAATAAATAAATAAATAAAATTGCTTTGTAAACTGAAATTACAGACTTCAGTTAAAGATTCAACCTTTACAATCTCGGTGCATTCAAAACAGCAGGCCTATGGGAACCAATGTTTACATCTTAATTTGCATATTTTATATTTAAGTAATTATTCTTATCTTTGTTTATTTATTTTTTTATGTGTTGAGTAATTCAGCTTTGTCAATTGTCAGTTCTGCTTCCTGTTTATATGTTGTGATTTTACTTTTTAAATCATTCCTCTCTATTGTATTTCCTTAACTTGACTTCCTGTTTTCTTCTTCTTCTTGTGTTGTTGATTAGCCTCTTTAGCTTCAGGTGTCCCACAATCCTTCACTCCAGCCCCTGCATTTGGAAACCCCTTTTCCAATACCAGCTCCTCTCCTCTAAATCCTTCTCGGTCTTTTTGCAGTATTTCACCCACTCATTTGGAGCCGGCTGCTTTGGGGATTAACTTGGACATTTCATTGTATGTAAATGACAGAGCTACATCCGTGCACTGTTGTCATGTTCGGCTGCAAATGCTTTGAAAACTGTCGCTTTTATCATTACATAATTATTTATTTTTAATTTCACTTTGTACCTACAGGTCTTTGATGCTGTTTGCAGTACTTTGGCCCATGCTGTGACAGGTAGGAAGCTTTAGACTTTATTTTCTGTTGGTTTAATGTGTATAATATGAGACCACATGGAAAAGAGAAAAACAAAAAAACACAAACAAATCTGATTATTTATTATTTTGAGTTGAAAATTACATTCTACTGTCTAAAAAATAGTATATGTTTTATCATCATAATTTCACTATTATCAATGTGGTGCCAACATCTGTATAGAATATTGAGAATTTTCTTGAAATTTGATTATTTTAGAACAATTCTAATTTTAGAAAGAAGCCACACACATTTTGTATTTTTTTATATTTCACATTTGTATTGTTTCTGTAGTTTTGACATAATAATCGTTGTATTGTGAGCAGTGGCAGAGTTAGTAATTTGGGGGCCCTAGGTGAGCTTGAGTTTGGGGCCCTCACTATAATTTTTTTTTTTTTTTTATTGTCTGTTTATCCCCATTGTTCTTGAGACATGCACATGGTGGATTGGAAACTAGTCGCTTACTAGATAACCAGAGGTGGAAGTAATTAAATTTTTTTGCATCCATTGTTTACATCCATTACATATGATTATTATTATTTTTCTTATGATTATTATTGTAAGTAAACCACTCTCAGAGAAAATCGAATTGCTCTGAGGCCTCGATCATTACTGGCACTGAAGGCAATTGGTTGAGGGCCCCCCAAGGCTTAGGGGCCCTAGGCAGCTGCCCACTTTTGCCTAATAGTAGTGCTGCCTCTGATTTTAAGCCACTTGTGAGAAAGTATCATATATTTTCAGCATAAAAAACAAAAAAGATAGTGCTGTTGAAGACACATATTTTCTGATCTATGTTTTAATGTCAGACATACTTGGAGTTGTGTTTTGTTTCATTCACACATGTTTAATACACAAACCCTGCAGATTTAGACTGAGTGATGTCCACCTTGTGATGTCATGTAGTAATATAGGGAGTGCTCCACTGTGTTTTGAAACTCCGTACACCTTCACTTGAATGATTTGGATAATTTCAGCCCTGGAATTGCTCTACTCTACTGAACTAAAGGTAAAAGGTGTTGTTAATTTAAAGCTATCACTACATGACATCACAAGGTGCAACAGAGCATTTTGAGATACGGAGATGTAGACAGACTAATAATAAATGATGAAATGAAACAAAACACAAATCCAGGTATGTTTTTGAGGATGGAACATTAGATCGAAAACTCACACATCAATTCTGTGTATACTAGGACCTTTAACTTAACTGTACATTGTGACAATTTCTTAAAAATGCCTTTATAACAGATTTGACCAGCCTTGATTCTTATATAACCCATTGTAACAGTTATATAAATTGACCTCACATAAAATAACACATCATTAGGAGCACATATGTGGCGGATCTTATTCTTAGACACATGGAACATTATAGCATCCTTTGTGTCCATGCTTCCTCCTTGTTCTCCCAAAGATCTGAGCTCTCCTCCTGACACGGCCAAGGCCCACTGACAGGCCTCAAGATCACATGAGCTCAGCTTTTACTGTCTTATGTTATTTACAGTTAGACTTTTTACACGACGGCTTTATCATTGAGAATAGCTTTTATTGTCTTAAAGGTGCATTGTGTAGCTTTTTTGGTGGAGCGTCCGACCTGCTTGTTTTCTATGGAGATGTTTTTACTCTGCCTGGAATGTTCCACAGTATGACATTAAACAGCTCTACCTTACATTTATTCAATTACAGGTGGTTTTAGAACTCAAAATAAAACAGGCATTCTGACTGTGAGCAGGGTCGACTCTCCACAGATTTGGCCTGTAACTTTTTCTGGTTTTGTCTCCATGAAGATAGAAATATTTAATGCCGTATTGTGAAACATTCCAGACAAGGCAATGACATCTCATTTGAATACCAGAATAGTTACACCAGAATAGTCGCACAATGTACCTCTAAGCTGACCTGGAAGATACTACTGGACATTTTTAGTCATGGTTAAAGGTGCATTACATCACTTTTCTTGAGAAATTTCCACCGCCTACTTGACTCCATATTATTGTTTTGCTTGAATGTTCCACAGTGTAGCATTAAACATAGATTGCATATTTCCAATTACATGTGTTTGTATTGCTAAAAATGTATGTGACCTGTCATAATATGCCAGATGCTCTTTAAATGTTTTAGATTATTATTAAATGTTAAAAGCAAAAAAAAAAAAGGGTCATTGATTTATTTATTTATTCAACTTTAGCTAAGAATACCATAAAAAGTTTGGGCCCAAAGCATGAATAAGGCATGTCTCTAACCCATGAAGTTTACATTGATTTCATATACAACAAAACAGCCCGCATAGAAGAGGAGAGAAAGAGTGGGAGAGAGAGAGTCGGGGAGAAAGTGGAAGAGAGCTCGACATTTAAAGGTGGGAGAGGAAGAGGGAAAGGGGGAGAGTGAGGTAGATGGATGGAGAGAGTGGAGGAGAAGAACGGTGAGGTGAGGTAGGTGGAAAGAAGGAGGATGCGAGAGAGAGAGAGAGAGAATGAAAGGGAGGAAAAAGAGGATATACGGTATATGGAATTACACAGAGACAGAGAGAGGGTGGAAGGAAAAAAAGGGGGGAAAGGGGAGATAGTAGGGGACAAAAGAGAGAGGGAGGAGAGAGGGATGGGAGGGATAGAGGCAGAGAGGGGGAGGGGGGTATAGATCGAGAGAGCGAGGGTGAAGTATAGTGAGTGGAGGGAGGTGGAGAGAGATTGGGCGAGGAGAGAGTCGTGAAGAGGGGGGAGAGATGGGAGGAAGAGAGAGAGAGAATATGGATGGAGAGCGTGGGTGCAAAGTACAGTGAGATGAGGGAAGTGGAGAGAGGAGAATGGGAGAGGGATGGAATTATAGAATGACAGAAAGAGAGAGGTAGAAAGGGAGAAAAAGGGAAATAGAGTGGAGAAACAAAGGAAGAAAGGATGAGAGAGAATCAGAGAAAGAGAAAAGCAGATAGGACGAAATACTCCTGGGAGAGACGGCCAAAGAGAGGCAGAGAGAGAGAGTGGTGAAGTAGTGGAGAGAGAAGGAAAGAGGGAGCAAAAAGGGGAAGTTTGGAATTACAGAGAGGAAGAGAAGAAATGCGGGGGGATAAAGGAAGAAAGTGTGAGAAAGAGTGAGGAAGAGAGAAAACAGGAGAGAGAGAAGCAGATAGGGTGAAAATACACATGGGATGGACGCAGCCAAAGAGAGGGGGAGTACAGAGAGGTGGAGAGAGAGAGAGAGAGAGAGGGGGAGCAGTAGTCACGCATTGCAGAGGCCATTAAACTGTCTGCACACAGTAAATATGCATGTGTGTGTGTGTGTTTGGGCTCTTATCATAAAACAATAGAGTCTACTATATAGCCTACTATAGTGGGAATCTCCACTATCTCAGCATCTGTTTACCTAAGGCTCAGAATCAGGTTTAAAACTCACCTGCATGGAAAATGGGTCAGATATTATGACACGAAACAGCTCGACTTTATGTTTATTCAATTACAGGTGGTTTTATAGTGCAGCAAATACCTAGATAAACAGGCGTTCTGACTGTGAGCGGGGTCGCCTCTCCACAAATCTGACTTGTAACTTGGTCTGATTTGGTCTCCATAATGGTAGAAAGATTTAATATCATACTGTGAAACATTCCTGCTCGATTATGGAAAAAATCATCATGATTATTTTGGTCAAGTATTGAAATCAGGATTATTTTTTAGTTACACGATGCATTTATACAGCATTTTTCTCTCTAAAAAAACACTTTGTTATTGATGATTTACGCAAAACTTCCAAACTGAAAATAAATATAGGTTATAAATACGTACCTGAAGCATTACTGTGAAAAGAGTTCATTTATGGAATAGTCTTGACGAAGATATAAACGAATCAAGTACAGTGACGGCATTTAAAAAACACATTAAATCAAACGCAATGTGTATGTATGAAAAAGAAAATTAAGTTGATGTACATAATCCATGTATCATTCGTTCATTCGTTTTTCAATACAAAAACCAGAGTGGGACCAGAGCGAGACCAGGGCGGACTTCGAGCTTTGACTCCAAGCCTCCGCGGGGTCCGAGCCTCAGCTTCTAGCTCTGGACCTGCCTTGGGCTCTGAGCCTCTGGTCTGGTCCCAGTCTGGTCCTGGTCTTGTCTCGGCCTCAGGCCTGGTCTGGTCTCGGACCTGGATCAGTCCTGGTTCAGTCCATACGCAGCGCAAAAGTCCAGCATCGCAGTCAAGGAAGTCAAGTAAACGGGAAACTGTTATCCGTTTTTTCCATTCTTCATTTAAACATAAAATTAAAAACTGAAAAAACAAATTGTTATCTGTTTTTTCATTTTGGTTTTGGAGACAAATAACGAAGAAAACAGTTGTTTTTTCATTTTCTTATTTTTGGTTTTATATTGAAAAACGAATGAACGAATGATGCACGGATTGTACATAATAGTGAAGATTTCTGTTTGCAATTGATTAATAATTGTGCCTGAACTGAAATGTACTGATTAGAAATGTTGTAAAGTAACTATCGGTGTTGATGTGTTGTGTGGAAAAGGGAAAAGGGGGCAGATAACAAATAAAAGACGACTCTTCTTTCTGCTCCTTTTTATTCATTTTTTTGTATGTTTGATGTTGTGACACTGTTGAGGTCTTTTTATACTTTATAAATGAAATAAATAAATAAAAATAAATGAATAAAAACACCTTAGAGCAGTTTTGCGATGTGTAAAGAATGAATAAAATATACTTTGAACATGAAATAAATCATAGAAAAACATAAATGTACCCAAAATTAACTATATATCCAGCCGTTCTATAATCTCTATATTTTAAATAAATAAATAAATATACTTATATACGTCTCCATGGAGAAAAGTGTTTAACAGACCCTTATAATGAGTAGAAGAACTGAAATTAGAGCTGGACATGTCAAGAAAGACTGATCATTTTTCATGGCAACTCGTAAATGACAACAGCAACAAATAAATAAGCAATCTATATTAATACGTGCACTGCAATGCCAAGAACTCCAT